CAAGTAAACGGTGTGGTAGAACGTTTTCATCGACAACTTAAAGCTTCACTATCAGCAACAAAGGTTTCACAGTGGACAGACGCTCTTCCACTCGCCTTACTAAGTATCCGCAATGCAGTGAAAGCTGACATTGGATACACTACATCTCATCTCGTTCATGGAACGACACTTTAACTTTCAGGAGAATTCGTGGATCCCTCGTCTTCTTCAGTGAACATGGATCTGAACTCCTACACGAGCAGGCTTACAAACGCAATGCGTTCAGTTAAACCTACTTACACTCGACCGCGATCAACTGATGTTTTCGTTCGTCGAGACTCACATCGACGACCTCTCGAATCAGCATACGAAGGACCCTTCAAATTTATTCAACGTGAACCTAAGTACTATATAGTTGATAAGAACGGCACTAACGACAGCATCAGTATCGATCGAATCATAGCAGCGTATTAAGAAGGAAATCCTGTTCATGTCGATTTTCCTTCAGTACAATCGAACGATACAGCTCCTGCACTTGTAGTACCCCACATGACAGCCAACACACACCTTGATACTTCGTCAACGTCGGAAAATAAACTTAAGACAACGCGTTCTGAAAGAAGGGTAATATTTCCAGAACATTTAAACGACAATTGCACGTAAGACACAAACTTTATCTCGAATTTCCTTTGCATCATTATTTATTATTAAAAAAATTGAATATGCTCATTTATATATTTTTAATCCAAAAATGAAACAATTTTTTGAAAATAAGCGTATCAATTTTTTTAATAAAAAGAAAACAAAAAAATTTTCAATTGCTTTTAAGCCATCGCAAGCGTATTAGTTTATTTACCTTTTTTTCCGCTTACCTTGTGTCCTTACGTAAGTACGAGTGTATTTCGATATGCACTCACAAGTTCTATTTTTTTCTTTTCCAGGACGGCTGGAAAAGAACGATAAAGTCTAAAAAGAACAGAGATTTTCGATTGCATTTTGCTTTATGATTACTGTTCTGTATTTCATGGTTCGTATATTAAAGAAAGAAAACCAGACTCTGCTTAACATAGCAAACTATCAGAAGAGTGTTTACCAACGACAAACTCGTTGGTTTTAAACTTCTACGTCACTAGGGTGGTGCTATATTTGTATTTTGCTATATAAACGACCCAGCTATTCCTATTGCTTAGTATTCTTATACGATGACACTCGACAAGACCCCAAAATCAGAACACGTTGAACAGGAATGAAATTGTATTCAAAATAATAATGATAATTGAACAGCAATCAGCAATCAATAGTTTAAATATCGTTCTTATATTTATAGTATATACATAAGAAGCTTATAGATTTTTCTGCAATAATATGCCCGGGCTGATCGGTTTAAAATTAACCAATCAGCGCGCAGCAACACCATCATGCATAAAACATGCTTAATCTAATCTATATCCCACTAACAGGGGGAGTGATCAGTAGCTGTAAATAATTTCCTAAAATCAGTAACTTTTTAAGTGTTAGACATTGGATGCTGACCACATTAGTTTTAGTGGACTTCTTTAGCTGAAGGCGTTTGGTCATGCATCCGCACCAGATCACGTTACGACCCAGCGTGGGAAACATCTCCCAAGATCACTAGCCAGATTAGACCAATCGCTCCTCGATATATTGATAATATATCAAATATATCTTTCCAACGTCTTCGCTTCTGATTTTAACTGAGTGGGTCACGATTCGATTATAGATGTTACTGGTTAATAGTTGTCAAACTACAATTCTGGTGGTATCTTCAAGCTGAAAGGACGGTTCATTAGGAAGAAACATAAACAAGAAAAACTACTTGGATGGTCAAATATACACATTTTCTTAGTTTTATTACCATACTGTACAAAAGGAACCTCATTAACACTTTAACACTTCAAGACCATATGCACTCCAGATGCGGTGGAAGACGAAACAAAGGGATTGCATACAACCCTGAAAGAAAATGGATATCCGGAGAAATCTGTAAATAAACATACGGTTAATAAAAGAGAGCATAAGGAATGACCAACTGTGGGTAAAATGCTTCTGTATATACGCTTACAGTTCAAAGGTGATGCACCTAGTGAAATACTAAGGCTCAAGTTACGTAGATCGACCCAAAGAACTTTTGATACAAGCAAACTACAATTAATGTTTTCCACACATCCAAATTATCTAGACTGACCACTTCTCTCTGTAGCTATCAATTCAACTGCTCCTGCGGAGCAAGTTATATTGGCTGATGTTCTAGGAATTTGCATATTCGGGATCGTGAGCACCTCCCAGTGTAGTTAAGCAAAGGTGTAGTTAAAACTGTTAACAGCTCCATGTTAGCTCATTTAATTCAAACGGGACATACAGCCAACATGAAGAAATCTTTCACAATGATATACCGTGTTAACACCCATCTCCCTAATTCCGTCAGACTTGGAATCCTGCAGACAGCTGGGGCAATTGCTATTCAGGCCGAAATGTTAGAGCTTTGCATCCAATAGAAATATGTTCAGCCTCTCCTTTTACCCTGGCCAACTTTGGGCCGAACTAGTTAATCAATTCTACGATACGGTGGCGTAATTTGATTAATGCTCATTTTTATATCCGAAATTTTTCTTATCCACATATCTTACCGTTGTCATTATTATTGCACTTGCTAACCTTTTTGAGATATTTATTCATCATCCACCTTTATCTCCTAATTCTTGCCCAATTTGTATTATTCCACACACTACGTAATTCCTGATTTGTAATTACATGATTATCTATCTTACTTCATATTGGTCATATTTAATCTGATCATTTATCTCACAATTTCACTTCACTTATAAATTGATTCGAGCCAACTCTTCATATTCGTCAGCTTCAACATTACAGATTTGATTTGATAAAACAAACAATCCTTAATTTACATATTATAATTTTTAATGATGTACTCTGCCTTAAACCTGATCAATTTTATGGAATATCAATTCATTTAGTATTGTTTGTTTGAATCTCCCCATCGATGTGTTAGGATTGCAACTGGTCAGTCTCTAATTGGCATATGTGCATATTGCCTCAATATGGTCTTAATTTACAAGACGGAAAGCTACTGGGTTCGAGTTCCAGAGTGAACATCAACTCCGAGATGCAGGCACATCCAGCTGATGAGTCCCAAATAGGACGAAACGTGCGTCCTGGATTCCACTGCTAGCCACTTTCCATCTTTGCTTGCCATGCTTGACAATATTCTTTGTTCGTATAATTGGTCACAATCGAGTAATAAGATGGACAATTTGATTTTATCCCTTAAATTTTTACAAATAACTAATTTCATATTTTATTACAACCTTCAGTATATTCAATTCTTGACTTTTGAGTATTTGAAATGAATGAAGACTATAAAGCTACATGTGCCGTGTGGATTTTTGTTTCCTGTAAATTGTCATAACCTCTCTAATTGCACCTAAAGAGTAAATATATTCTGAGCATAACTTTAAGAATACAAAAATAATTAAAAGTCAGACTGAATGTGATTGACCTTTTTTCAAAATAAGAACTTTTTTCAAGTATACAGGAAAGTTCTTCGCTCTTTTGAGGTTATCCTATTCAATGGTCAAAGGATCCTCAAAAAATTCAATGTCTATGTCGTAATTTGACATGTAGGTGTCTCTGAATTAGTATGCACAGTTCTACTAAATCGGTCACTCCCATGAAGAATACAAAAGGAATGAATTACTCAGACGTCATTAAAACTACGCGAATATCGTAGTTTATAAACGGAGTTGAAAGTGCACCTTGTCGTAGACTCCAGAGAAAATATAAAGAAAGGATTTAAAGCTGAATAAGCAGTTTGTACGTATTGGGAGAAAAAGCACTTTTATTTGTGAATTGGTATTACAATTCACAGACAAGGTGACATGACGTTAGTCAGTTTTGTTTTGGGGGGTTATCGGTCGTCCAAGCGGTCATTTTCAGTGAGTAAATTCAAACATTTGATGCCTTAAAAATCAATAAAGTTAACATTTTACTAATTGCCTTCGCTGAATAAGGAAAAGCCTGTTCGAATAAATCATATACAACTTTAAATGTCTGACTAATTTGCGAGTTGACAACTAATAATGAGCAATTCAGATTTTTCGAATGTTCATCTACACCTGAAGGCACCTATTTATTTTTGAGGTAACCGAGGACTCAAACATGATAAACTTTTAGTTGCATTTATTCTCGATCACGAAAACTCCGCCTGCACTTATTCTACCTTAATTTAAATATAGAGTTAGGTATCATTCAAAACTACGTTATTTGATCTTATTTTCTTCGCCTCAAATGTAGTCTTATTTCGTTAATTTCTTGTCTTTCTACACTTATATGACGTATCCTTACCTAGAATGATACTCAACTACACACAGTCTCACTTCAACGCTTAATGGATCTTTCGTATCTCATTACCTCTATGGTGTCTCAAATCTAGTACTTACTTCTACAAACAATAGTTGTTAGGCTACAAACATATATTCAGTGGAATTTCTACCACTGTTATTTTCTCACAACTCAAGTGATTGTATACCGTACATATACATGTCTCAACATAACCCACGAAATCCCCATGATTAAATGTTAATAGAAGTTTATAAACAACAACCGGTCAGCATAATTCTTCAAAAACCAAGTGATCATGCTTACAAACCTACTTAAGTCTTAATTTCATAGATAAATAAGTGGATTAATGACTGAATTATAGTTTGACAAAAATTATATTCTAAGTCATCAAAATTATTGTTGCATAAAAATTAAATATTTTGTCTATATGACTACAGCATGATAAAGCAAATTACAATAAAGAATTCAAAATCGACGAAATGATCAAAAACTAATATAAACAACAAATTATTTACAGATTCTAATGAGAATGTAAAGAGTTCGAAAACTTAATCTGTGCTGTATAATGGAAGTATGCTAGTCTAACCAAATTTGGTTAATTATACAACACAGAATTATGCACACACGTCTCTAAATTTCTGTTAATTAAGTTGTCGACGTCGAGCTTTCTGTTTGTCAAAGCGTGCTTCCATCTCTTCAAGAATACGTGGTGTATACCTTACGACAAGTTTCACAGTACCTATAACGGAAAGAAGATTATTACAACTTGTTTCATATGATGGTTCAAACTTAAAACACACTGTATAACAAGTGATTATGAGTATATTAAATACTACACATAATGTGAATTAGAACAAGTATATATAGATGAATATTCTAGCATTGTGAAAACGTGATTATTAGATAAGGACAGTAATATAAAACTAACAAAAAAACGACATGAATTAACACAGAAAAAACATCTTAAAATATACGGCACATCACCTTGTGCTAATTTCAAAAGTTCAACAGCTCTTTCATGATGTTCACTCTCCACAGAAATTCCATTAACTGAAAGCAACTGATCACCACGTTTTAAACCACCATGACGATCTGCAACACCACCAGGAATAATCCGACTTATGTAAATAGGTGAGTTTTGTTCTTTACCACCCATAACATTGAAACCTAGGCCTTCATTAGTTTTTGGTAGTTCTATAACACGTGGATGAGCGTGTCCCTCACTTGCGGCAAAAGCTGCAACAGTAGCTTTAGCTGTTGCACTTGCTTTCACCTAATAAGAATTTAAATAAAATGAAGAATAAAAGTAGGTCAGTTACTACGTGAAACTTAGTATGCATGTGAATTGGTTCGCATTGCTATACTCCATTAGACCAACGAGAAGAAATTGTCAGGTCATATCACAAAATAGTAGAGGTAATAACGGTATCATCGATAATACTAAAGATTAGGCATCGGAGATATCATTTCAGAGAATACAAATGAAAGAACAATGAGGAATTCAGAAAATAGGAACCTAGGGGATATAAAAAGTGGATACACCTGCGCTACTACAAACGATTTCGAACCATGTCATCTAAAGTCTATAACCACTGATTACGATAATCAGGCGTACATCAACCAGGTAGTCTACACCTCTCGCCACCCGTGAGTAGTACTTCCCTGGCAGTGGCTGTTTACGCTTGAAGATGTGAGAGCATCTAGAGACGGAGAGCGGAATCTGCCTATCTTTAACCGTACCATGTTTCAACTACCTCAGTTGAAGACTTACTACCTCTCATATCAATTTGCCATCCTTACCTAGTACCCTATTACTAACCCAGAAATTGTCTACTCCATGGCCTTAAAATACACGAGCAACGCTCTGAAGATACCTACAATCAACCGATATCCTCTATTCCTAATGACCATGTTTTACATCCACAGAGTACTGTACAAGCTTCAGTCACTCAGTTAGTTGAAGATTCACAGGCGAAAAATCGGATTAAGGAAAAGAAGTCCTGGATTTTGACGCGAAGTACACTAGTCTACAGTTAAATGGCACTTCGGCATTATATTTTGTGTCAATTCGCAATGAAAACACTTATTCTAGATCATCACTGTTTACACGAAAATTGTTGGCAGTGGCATTAACAAAAAAGTTGAGTAAGAATTGAGGCTTAGAGCATTATCTTTGTGTGAAACCCACAATACAGCAAAAACAATACTAACCTCTTCTGACCCATTAATATCAACAGTTGTGTATATATGTTCATAAACTTCACGAATCATGTCGCAAAAGTCTGACTGTAGTATACGCTGTAGAGCTGCTAACTTTGATGGTTGTATTTCGGGACATCTCTGAAGTATTTCCAATAACTCCAACACTCTATTAATATCTAATATGTGAATATAAACAATTTACAATATACCTCTTTGCAAACTTAATGATTCCGCCATTTGCTAGTGTCCAATATCTTCCCAATGTTCAAGCATGAAAACCCAATAATATTTTAGATACGCTTTCTATGTTACAATATTTTTTCAGGTTTTCCGGATATTCTAGACATGTTACTGCACTGACTCTAGTGGGTAAATAGTTGAAAGTAAAGTAAATGTACATTCAATTATTTGAGTAGCGACAGAATAAAGATCACATTTGTCTTTATTTTCGGCACTTGATATATAATCAACTTCACATTCAATGTCCATCATTTCTCTTTATCAATTCCAAAAGGACACTCTTGGTTACATTAACATCATATCACTGCTACTAAAGAAAATAAACACTGTCTCTGTCGTCTGCTCTTCTACTCTATTGGCTTACAGTTTGTGATGAAAGACTATAACAACTATCATAACTATACACTACATTGGAGTTTTGATCGGGATTATTATTGAATAATACCATGGGATCTAATCTTTTCCATCACACCGTCGATACCACAACGTGGAGATGAACCTTCGTTACTTAAATGTACTTATTCGCGGTTGTTTTCTTAGGAGCTTGCGAGTCACATTTATTTCATAAAAGTTGTTACCATTTTGTTTTAAATGACATTTATTACAGTGTTACTTTACCCATAAAAAACGCCTCGGTTTGTAGTGTTGATCGTTTTGCATATCATTAGTAACTATGTTAATTGTTATTTCTTGAACTAGCTCTTTTACTGGGAACCGTCGCTCATCTGGTGAGCACTTGCATTTCTCTCGAAAGTATAACTTTGAGTCCACCTATTAACATTTCTGTGCTTTTTTGCTCTTGTTGACGATTGCTTTTTGCATATTTACCATGCATTCATTCGAATTGGAAGATTTTAACCGAGGTAGCGATTCAACGCTCTACACCTCATATGTGTGACACCATTCAGAAGATGAGACCCACGTTTGTAGTTTTCACAGATGGATGTGCAGTTTCGTTGTAGTAATACGTGTTCACAGGCTTCAAAATCTTCTTTAGTGCTTAGATTCCTGCCAACCGCAATGGTATCTTAGACATCGGGTTCTATAGGAAATGTTCCCACGTTGGAGCCCATGATCGGTTAAAGCAGACCGTCATGCAACGTACCTCAGTATCGGATAAAAGTAGATGCAACAGTTCCTATATGAATGCGAGTTAGATGACAAGACAGCGTCTTAATTATTATACCAGATGACGCACTTGATTGAACCTTATGTAGTTGATGATGCTTCTCTGAAGGAAATTCGGCTTCAGCTCTTACCAACGGCAGTAAGGCCAAGTTTCTGTGCTTCCTTCCAACCTTTAGATTTGGAGAATCTGGCTGGCATGGCTGATAAGACTTTTGAAGTAACACGTGGTACGACACATTTCGTACGGATTATATCAAATACTCCGAGTAACATGAGAACCTTCACCAAAGCGTCGTTAATTGTTGAATTAAGTGACCTACGTACACATCATGCACGCACAGTTGTTAGCCTCGTTGACAAGCTAGATGCATTGCAATTATTGATTTATAATGTCACATCTCGAGAATCCTGATCCAATTCTAGGAGGAGTAAGAACCAACACAGCATAGGAATGAGTGAATATGACGACCACATCCTTTGGTAGCACAGAAAATATGGCGTCAAAGCCAGGAACTGTGTTACATCTTGCGAACATTTTGCGTCTATTTCCCTGTTGTGAAACGTATCGACCAGATAATAGTGTTACTGCTGTTATTGGTTATACCCTAAGAAGACTAATAACGCCCATACGAACATTCAGCGCAGCCTGTTATATATGTTATTATGGTACATCCAAACGACTGTGATAATTCAATCTCGACGCCTGATACAGAGACATTTTAATCTGACTTGTTGAAATCTTTGATGACAATCCTTGCTGTCGGAATGCCTTGAAACAGCTTCAGTGAACCTTCTTTGAACACTTTCAATTTTGATCGGATTATTATGCCTGCAATTACAGTAAAATAAAATACCATATTCAAGAATGGGTAATATACATTTTCATATAATAATAATGTCGATTCGATATTATTGAAGTTTATCACTATGAATTCAATGAACTTTCTAGCTTTGGATACGTGAGATGCAATGTGCTCGGAAAAAATCAAACTGTTGCTGTATCTCAAATCCAAGTCACGAGCAGTATTGAGAGGTCTCAGTGTATGTTTGTGTATAGCCAGATTTAGGTTAAAACAGCAGCCAATGTGGATGAATCCACTTTTATCAGCATTAAGTGGCATGTTCCACGAGACAGTTCATTCGTAAAACTAGTTTACTTCTTCTTGGAATACTGCCTAAATATAGCTTTCTTTGATCAGTTCTGGATGAATGTCTAGATGTCAGCATTTGAAATGGATTGATAGAGGTTTCGGTTTCATTGTTGTAGCGTTGCGAGAAATGCTGACTGAATAGTTCAAAAATAGTATCAGAATCGCTAACAGTGTTTCTGTCACCTATTAAGAATTGACTTGTGCCAAAAGAATTTTACTTCATACGATGTTTGAAAAGCCAAATTAATAATAACTCTGGGCTTTTACTACCTAGGGCTTTATTTTCTATATTCATGATACTTGAGTTTAGATGAAACATTTTCGTCGATCAGGTAAAGTATACTCTGAAGTGCATCAACGTAATGATCCTTGTAGTAGCGGTGTTTGAATTTTGTTGGGTTTATTTAAGAGGTTTCTAAATGTACTCCAGCACCTGTTAGCTTTATAAGCCACTTCCCGAATTGCTGCAGCAGTGCAGTCAAGGCAATATATCAGGTTGTAATATAAATGGGAAAGTGCAGTGTCAATGTTGTTTGTGGTAAATTAAGGTTCCCATGGTAAATATCGAATAAGAGTTATGGTGCGTTTCCAGGTTTGTCGATCAAACTGTCTGCTCCGGTACATTATCGCATTATTAGAGTACGATTCTGTACTGTTTGGAGAACGAATAACACTCAATACAACGCTATGATCACTCATAAAAAACTCATGGCTGATGTGCACTTAGAGTATGTGTTGATTGCAAATAATAAATCACGTATATTATTCCTTCTAGTTGGTTTTCGGACTTGGACCCGTCCACAAAGTTCTAATGTTTCAACTAACTTTTTATATCGGCCTAATGTCGAACGTTAAAGGAATGAATAAGAAACTGAGAGATATCACAGTAAAGCAGGCTAGACTACATAATACAATTTTTAGTTCCATGAATACTGGTAGGACTGTCTACGATAAGTATTGAGTTGCGAGAGGAAGAAGCTTCAATAACTTTGACATTATTTGCGATGTATTCACCGTTGCTGGCTAAAAAGCTGTTGGGTTACAAAAATGTATCACGTTTGTTACTGCCTATAACATCTGATAGGGGCATAGTGTACGTATTGAGAGCCGGACCGAGAAGGCCATCAGGTCTATGTGTACGAACAAGTGGCCATTTACAATTCGGATTACTTCTTACACCTGACATACGTGTGACATATTCCAGACGTTTATTTTCAAGTTTTGTGGTTCGTTTTAGCTTCTTCGTAATTTGGAGAGAATAGAATTTCGTTAAACATACTTGTAATGGTTTTTAAGGTTAGAATATATTGACGTTCACTGCCTGGTCAGTTATATAAATGTTATGACTTTTATTTCCATTATCCTTTGAACAGTTACTGTACCTGAGTGTTTCACTGACAGGAATTCGGACTTCAGATGGTAACTACGAATCATCAGGATTGGCGAGTTTTCAGTGATCACAGGTTGTTGAAAAACGTGACGTTGCCTGATCGTTACCGCATCCCACATTTGCACGAATTTTTGCTTACGCTATAAGGAAACAAATGTTTTTCACCAATGATTTTAAGAGAGTTTACTAGAAGATTCCAGTACTATACTTTGGACACTCATCAACCCCATGAACAACTAAAAATCGTGCTGATGGCACAACCAAGATGGAACAAGCTCTTAGCTTCAGTTTTATTAGACATATTGTCTACAATCAAGGAAGACTTTCAATGCTCAACTGCACAGCTCGTTTAATGAACTAATTTAACCCTACCTAGTCAACTAATAATGCGTAAAAATGGATCTGTAAGTACAGACTCCGCTTTCTTTTATGAAAGACTAGTGCACCACATGAATTATAATAATTGTGTTGTACCTGACTAGTTTACCTAAATGAGAAAATTGGCAAGCACCTAGCTACTTGTACATTTGTATTTATTTGTGTTCATTCCATAAGACGTCCTCTACACCACTCTTACGAAGAACCTGTTGTGGCATTGAACCCGAACCACACGAATTTTAAAGCCGAGCATGTATTAAAAACAATAGGTATTGTAGAAGTGTTAGTATTGTCATTATTTTTTATTTAAGTCAGGAAGTCTAATAACGTTTATGCCAGTAAGCTGTCCATATGAACTGATTTCCAATTGCATTTGCATTAGAAGGCTAACTGAAAGAACAAAAGTAAAACCATGGAGAAAAATTTCCTATCTGTTTTTGCAGTTAATTTGTTAAGTTTCATACGGTCTATTTAGTTACGGGGAAATTTCCTCGACCTCAATATTACTTGACAGTGATAAAATTTAATACAATTACTAATACATATGAATGATCATCAAACATTCCTTTACGAGAAAATGGTGATCATTGTGCGCATTTCCGACGGATAGCTAAGAGCGATTCGTCAAACATGAGTGTATTTGTGAGACACACTTTCTGGACTCAAGGTTATTTATATTACTATCTACCAGCTGATAGTGCATACAAGTTGGTTGCAAGCATGGATTTGAGCATAAGGTAGAAAACGACTTATTTAATATATGGTCATTAGACGACATGGTGTTGCAAGATGCTTTCAGCTAAATAGGTTTTTACAAGATGATAAGCAGTAAGTGATGCTCATGTGATTAACAGGTAAAACATAATTTGTAACGAAGAAGAGTACATTCCCAAACCATGTCTGTGATATAGGCCTGAACCTCAGTCAGTGTCGGGGCAAATTGGACAGTG